CCGTTTCTTCACTCTGGAGTTGTACAAGTCCTGAAGATTGGGCAGGTGCACACCAATTATCCTTTCAGCTGTCCTAACAGTCTGTTGCAGTCTTCTTAAATCTGATTTGCTGGCTGACCCAAACCAGACAGTTATAGAAGAGCACAGAACCGACTCAATAACAGCTGAGTAAAACTGTGTCGTCTGCACCTGTGGCAGCTTGAACTTTTTCAGCTGACGAAGGAAGTACAGCCTCTGCTGAGTCGATGTGATGTGAGATGGTGCCCATGAATCTGAACGAGTCCGAACGAGTCCACTGCTACCACAGTGCTGCTCATGTATACATTACTGGAAAAAAAAACTGTCATAAAATATACTTCATTTTCACTATTCAAAAAAATATCATTGTTATAAAATAAGCTTTTTCACTATTCAAAATATGAATTCCTGTTTTTTTGTTTGATTTTGGACTGAGATATGATGTGTACAGCTTTGTGAGATTCACCCAAGAATAAATTTGGTCTCCCACAAGCACAAACATGATTCGATTTTCAAATGAGAGCGAATGGACGACACAGAGGTCGACCCTGCTGCCTGGAATAAATATTATCTATTTATAGGATTCTCAGAATCCATGTTTAATTTTCATAAAGGCCACATCATAAAATAAAAACAGCAACTTTGTTTCAGTGATTGAAAGGAACAGTCGAAATCGAGGTGTATGTGATCGATAAAGAGTCAAAGAGACGGGCAGACGATCTGACTGGATGAAGAGACAGAAAGGTGGTTGATATGCACAGACGGATCTCTGCTCTTGTAATTGGAGGTCACTGAGTCTCCCATGTGCAGTGGATTGATTTCAGTAACATTTCCCCTCATTAATTTTCTTCTTACACAAAGATCAAGCCTGCATCTCTAGAGGCATCACTAAGATTCAATGTCACTGGCTTTTACAGGATTAGCATCCATCTCCGTCTGTCACTCTGACAACTGTATTTACTAATGGATGCTACTCTCAGACTGTGCTGAAGACTGAATAATGTTTATATGTGGTTAACTGAAGTCAATTTGTAATGCCTGTTACCATACCAATAGGTATTGGGTCAAAAATGTGGTTTTGTTTGATTATTTTGTGTATCCACCACTCAATACTCAACGGGAAATTTGTATTGCTCTGTCCACACAACAATGCTATTTTCTTAAAATTAATTCCGTGTTGTTCGCAAACACACCTTTGAGTAAATGAGGCTTTCTATAGAATGTGCCAGATTCATTAGTCACTGGCATTCGCGTCACGCAATTAATGTTGCATTATTAACACTGTGACATTAGCATGTTGCCACGCTAACAAGGCAATATCCTAATTAGCGGAAAAATACGTAATATGCACAAATGTTGGGCAAAATTGCTTTTTAATAATGTTAAACTATTTTTAACAGCCTTTTTTCCACTGAGCTGGTTGCAGTGCATTCTGGGATTGGATACATGCCAAAACACGAACAGTGTTCACGTTGAGGATCCTCCTATAATGCCTTCAAATGCTGCCTATGTTGCCAGCTTACTAGTTTTCAGAGCGAAGTCAACATGTCCGATGCTGTCGGTGAAGCTTGCATTGTTTTGAACCTAAAACATTCCTCTAATGTTTCAAGTAGAAAGTTTATAGATAGTGAATTCATGCAGTAATGTTATGTAAAGCATTAGCTTGCTTTACCTTTTGTGTCTGGAGTTTGTGTGTGTGTATTTTTAGTGCATGTGTAGCATTTGTTTGTGGTGTACGTGTGTGTGCATTTCTCAAGCTGATAGTGAGGTGTCTTCAGGGATTATAACGTTGTCCAAAACCTAGTGATGTGCCAAATAGACTTTTTGCAAAGGCTGTTCCAAAATGTGTGCAGAAACATTATGCAGCCTTTTAAGATCATTTGTTTGGTTGACTGCAGCATCACATGTATATGGAAGCCCGTTTCCGCCACTGAATAAAAAATAAAAAAAGGTTATTGCGACTTTTTATCTCACAATTCTGACTTTTTTTTCACAGAATTGCGAGATAT